CAGATATATTTCTTCTCCCCAGTAAAGCATTTAAATTTACCCTGAAGCCAATGCTGACAAATTAAAGTTGGTCAACATACACAGAACTTTAGCTTTTTCAACACTTTCCTCCACCACCGCTGCTCCATTCTCTACAAAGACATCCCCTTTCCCACAGTCTTCCTACAACCTCAGTTCCTTCTGAGTCCACCCATTCCCTCCTATCATTGGCCAGCTCAGCTTACCAAAACCTTATACAGCAGTGATGGCGAACCTTTTGAGCTGGTGTGTCAGCAATTTGAAAAACCCTAACTTAACTCTCGTGCCGTGTCACATATAGAAATTTTTTGATATTTGCAACCATAGTAAAACAAAGACTTATATTTTTGATATTTATTTTATATATTTAAATGCCATTTAACAAAGAAAAATCAACCAAAAAAATGAGTTCGTGTGTCACCTCTGACACGCATGTCATACGTTCGCCATCACTGTTATACAGAATGTAAATTGGCCAATCAAGACCATCCTATAGGAGAGCACCCATATACTGAATTAAATAGCTGGTTCCTGGGGGTAGAAAGGTGATTAGACACAGAGATAAAAAAACATAATCTGTGCTCTACTGGGATTATTGAAAAGTGGGGAAACAGACCAGTGAGCAATTACATAGAACATGATGATTGTATTAATCAAGGGAAGAACTAATTCAGATGAGAGAAGGAAAGAACAGACGTTAGTTACCATTAGGCTTACTCTGAAAGCTTTGCCTAGTACACTGGTCAGCTTGCCTTGCTCATTGAATAAGAAAATTAGGAGAAAAAGTATATATTCCTCTTGCTGCCTCATTCACTAAATACATAAATTTATCCCTCAGCCCAGCCTGCACCCTCTCCAATCTGGGACATCCCTCTCACAATCCGGGACTGCTGGCTCCTAACTGCTCACCTGCCTGTCAGCCTGATCACCCCCTAACCGCTCCCCTGCTGACCTGATTGACGCCTAACTGCTCTCCTGCGCTGGCCTGATCACCCCCCAACTGCCCTCCCCTGCGACCTGGTTGCACCCAACTGTCCTCCCCTGTAGGCCTGGTCCTCCCCAACTGCCCTCCCCTGCAGGCATGGTCACCCCCAGCTGCCCTCCCTGGCAGGCCTGGTTGCCCCCAGCTGTCCTCCCCTGCAGGCCTGGTTTCCCCCAGCTGCCCTCCCCTGCCAACCTGGTTACCCCCAGCTGCCCTCCCCTACCGGCCTGATCGCCCCCAGATGCCCTCCCCTACCAGCCTGGTAACCCCCAGCTGCCCTCCCCTGC